CCCCAAAACCCCAAAACCCCAAAACCCCAAGAAAACGATATCGATTGATTACACTTGAATGCCTTCAAAATATATACAAAACTATTTATATTATTTCATTACAGTTTGAGTTTATTTAGATCATCAATATAGCAAGCAGAGAGTATATCATTAATGGGTGTTGTTGACTTTTAGAAGTCCTCCACATCGGTAATAATTTTCAATGGAACCAGTTTTTAAAATTAATGATTGAGATATATTGGAAAGATTCCATGTGAAGACATTAGCAAACTTGCACCAGTCATCAATATTTAAGCTAAAATAAATGATAAAATAGACTCCAATCAAGTAAATTGCATACCTTTGAATAAATGACTATTTCTGTAGTTTTTAAATCTTGCTAAATAGAATCCCAGTAGTATGACATTAGAGACTAAGAATCCCTTACGATAATTCCACAAAATAAATTTCGATAGTTCCCTATCTTCCTTGCTACCATGCTACAATGAATGTAAAATGAATTAGTTTAGAGTTGAAAATTCTCTCATTTTAAGTGGTTAAATGAATTATAATTATTTAGTTATCCATAAATAATACTTTAATTAATCATAACTTAATCCAAAACCGAATCTATATATCAGCAATCATATAATGAGGTCACAATTAGCCTCAATTTAAAGACTCAATTAATGATAGTTTATAATCCATCTCTTCTAGGAGATTTTTATTTCTAATCTGATCAAATTCTTTACCTTTTCTATTCATTACCTTATTTTATTAATTTTTCATCTTGAATTTTTCCTCAATAACGTTTATCTACTCCTATAGCATCATATTTCTATCGTTGTAATTATCAACCTTTTGCAAAGATACTTTACTAGGTGGAAGCTTTATCGGTGTACCTCTGTTGTTTAGATCACTAGCACTAGCATCAATGATTGTTAGATAATTCAAATCTCCAAGGTCCTCATTGAGTCTTTTTCTTTAGTTTTCCTTCAGATAGTCCTTATATGGAATTCTTTAGTCTTGAGACTAGTTTCGCTTTGAAGTCTTATCCTTATCTTTTTCCCATACAAGGTTTTACCTTCTAATTTTCATCTCAGTAGATTCGAAAATATTGCTTGGGCTATATATTAGTTTATTGTTTTATAGAATTTCAAGATGGTTATTTTTGTTGCTGTGCTCCTATTAAGATAGTCTCATTTTATGTCGGAGCTAAAGTTTAGCAATTCTTTCTGATTCCTCATATCTTAGCTGATCTTCTGATTTTAGAGTAGGAGCATGAATTTCTTTAACGTATTTATAGTAGTTCTTAATCTTATCTTTCTAATCTTACTTTACCCTTAGTTGATTATGCATTTTCTACTATTAGGCTCTTTCTTCTATAATTACTTAGTCCAAAACATTTGACTTGAACTTGTTTCTAATATCCATTTCTCTAACTTTCAGCTGTTCTCTCTCTAGAGATCTCTAACTCTCAATCTCCCGAAGCTGCTTCCTTGTTAGGCTATCGAATTTCTTTGAATGCTTATTAATCTCCTTAAAGTCAATTGGCTTCTTAAGTTCTCGGATCTCCTACAACTTTTTCTTTTTCTCTTCTAAATCAGGAATTAATATTTCCTGCTCGAATCTCTTTTGCATTTCTTCGTATCTCAAAATATTTTTTGAGGACTAGGAATATGCGAGTTTCTAAGATTTTAGTTCTTAATCTTTCATATCTCTTCTTTTCTTTAATTCTTCTATCTTATTCAGTATTTCAAGCTTTCTTTATTCTTTCAACTCTTCCTACCTTTTTTATTCCTTCTCTGCTTCCTCCAGTTTCTCTTTTTCTTTTAATTATTGTAACTTCTCCTCTTTTTACCTAACAATTAACTGTCTATTTTCTCTTTCTTTTCTATCCTTCTCTAATTTTATAACAAGCTTTTTAGATTCATCTTACTGAGTTTTCTACAAAATTAATTAAGATTTTCTTATAAATTATAAAATTTGATACCAGTGGAGATTGTAAGCCTGATCAATTTAAAAAAAATGCAACTTACAAATTCATTCATATGCTCAAGTCTATCCTCTTACTTCAACAGATTTTTATTGTTCCTTTATATTCTAGCAGATCCAGCTATCAGCCCAAGTTGCCTTTGCATTTCATCTTCTTCATCAAAATCATAGAACTAAAGATCTTCCTCCCGAACCTTTTTTAATTTTGTCTCCTATAAGTATATTATAAACTCTAGCATGATTATGAGGAAATTCATTTTTATTCATAATGACTTATTTATCTTACAAATTCTTTTTTAGTTAGAGTATTGTACTTGATTCTATGTCTCACTAATAGCTAGTGAGCCTATTCTTTCTTCATTTACGCTTTAAATGTATTTATTCCCAACCTATCTTCTTAGTCATTAAAGTCTCTAAGTCCATGGGAGATTTCAGAAATAACTTGAAACTCTATTTCCTCTTAAAGCTATTTACACTGATCTGCGAGGAATTTATCTGAAGTTAGCATTCCTCATAGTGTCATACTTTTATCTTTATAAATTGCCACTTTCTAAGGGCCAAGCTAAGCTTGATTTTAGCTTTTTGTAAGATTTCGGTCTCTTTTAATGCTGCTCGATAACTTTTCACTTACTTTTATATTATTTTCCATTAAGCGTATAAATTAGAATAATATTAATTAAGATTTTAGTTAAATTAAGAATGAAGCATTAACTCTCACAGCACTTAATCTATTGAACTATTTATTGAATACCAATCCGTCTCTAGCAGGACTTGTTCAAATGGGGCTTGAGCAAGATTTCCTGTTGTGTTTGACAGAAAAAGAACAAAGAGAGGTGTCAAGGGTAGACTAGTTCAGAAACAGATGGCAAGTGAAGAGAATCAACGTTCAAACATTAGGGAATTCGAGGCCAACCGGTCTCAATCAGTATCTACGAAGACGTTATCGTAGTGTGGGGAAACTCTCCAGTACTCTGAGTGGTAGTACTCCTATGGGAAATATTTCTTGTGATAGGCAAAGAAGGAGTTGAGTTGAATGCATTGCTTGAAGTACTCGACGGCTTCCATGCATCTGATGTGCTTTAAGAAATCAAAGTATCCGTGAACGTTGATGCAAGCTCTGATGAGTCTGTGCCAGTGGACGCATTGCAACTTGATATTTGCGTTATACTCCTGGAACTTGAAGTTAACGGTCTTGAAGAAGTTAATATATGGTCTCTTGATGGTATGCATGTTCTCTCTTGACATCTCAAATTGATTGAAGTCAAAGTACTCTGGGAACACCTTCATCTTACTTATATCTATTATTATATTTATTAATTAATTCTACTATAATACACTGAACTAATAGACGAGGGGTTTTGGGGTTTTGGGGTTTTGGGGTTTTGGGG